TGCTGCTGCCGCCGCCGCCGCCGCTGCTGCGGGCTGCCCCGCTGCTGCTGCTGCTGCTGCCGCCTGCTGCAGCCGCCGCGGAGCGCATGCGTACAGCAGCAGCAAACTCAGAGCAGCATTTGCAATGTTCCAGTGCAGACACAAAAGCTGCCCCTCCACGGACCCCGCGAAGGGGCCCCCAGCAGCAAAAGGGGGGCCCCCAGGGGGGCCCCCCGAACCGGGGGGGGCCCCCACACTCGGGGGGCCCCCCGACCCAACCACCTCCACCAACTCCTCCTCCCCAGCGCTCTCCATGGGGGCCTCCCCGGTGCCCTGCTGGGGGGCCCCCCCGGTACCCGGCTGGGGGGCCCCCCCTGTACCCTGCTGGGGGGCCCCCTGCGGCGGCCAGGCTGCGGGGGCCCCCGAGGGCAGATCTGCTGCTGCGGGGTCCCCGTGCTGCTGCTCTGGGGGCGGGCCCTGGGGGGGGGGCCCCTGCAGCAAAACAACGGGGGGGGCCCCCCCTAGGGGCCCCCCAGGAAGAGGGGCCCCCTGGGGGTCCCCCCGGGGGGCCCCCCTGGGGGCCCCCTCAAGCGGGGGCCCCCCCTCCTGGGGGCCCCCCTCATTTAAAAAGTTGTTTGTGGGCAAAAGACTGTCTCTTAATTCGTCTCCATATGCAGACTGCCCTGCGGGGGCCCGGAGGCGGGGCCCTGTTGGCCCTGCTGCTGCTGCTGCTCCTGCTGCTGCTGCTGCTGCTGCTGCTGCTCGCTGGCACTCTGTGTCATTGTCCGAAAGGCAGGGCCTTCCTCCCACAGCTCGTCCCGCCTGCTGCTGCTGCTGCAATTGCTGCTGCTGCGGTTCTGCTTTCTGCGGTGGCTGCTGCTGCAGTTGCCCGGTCTCCTCTTGCTGCTGCTGCTTCTCTCGCAGCAGCTGCTGCTTTTGCTGCAGTTGTTGCTGCGGCTCCTCGTCTTGCTGCCGCTGCTGCTGTTGAACCTGCTGCTGCTGCTGCTCATCCTCCTGCTGCAGCTCCTGTTGAACCTGCTGCTGCCTTTCCTGCTGATGCAGCTGCTGACCCTGCTGCTGCTCGTGCAGCTCATCCTGCTGCTGCTGCAGCTCCTGCTGCTGCTCCAACTCAACTGGTTGTTGCTGCTGCAGCTCGCTTACCTGCTGCTGCGGTCGCTGCATCTGTTCATCCTGTTGATGCTCCTGTTGCTGCTGCTCCTCGTTTTGCTGTTGCTGCTGCTGCTGCTGCTCCTTTTGCTGTTGCTGTCCCTGCTGCTGCTGCTCCAGCACAGGCGACACGTACACGACATTGCCCTCATATGCATCCGCAGCGCTGCTGCTGCTGCTGCTGCTGCTGTCGCTGCTGCTGCTGTCGCTGCTGCTGCCCGCATTGTTTTCTTGTGACTGCAACTCTGCCTGAGAGCTGCTTTCCCCGCCTTCTGAGTCATAGACAGCTGCGGTTGCTGCTGCTGCTGCTGCTGCTGTTGCTTCTGGGAGTTGTGCAGCAGCAACGGGGGTGGGGGCCGGGGACGGGGCCGGTATTCCCGCTGCATTCACTGTAGTGGCAGCAACAGCAGTTGCTGCTGCTGCTGCTGTTGCAGCTGCTGCTGCGCTGTGAATGTTCGGGGCCCGGAGAGCATCTCCCTGTGACGCTGCTGCTGCCAGTAGCAGCAGCAGCAGCAGCAGCAAATGGTGCCGACGGCTTTGCTGCTGCTGCAGCCAAGCCCACAGCAGCCGCAGCAGCTGCAGCAGCTCCCCTAGCACAGCCTCCATTCACCGGGCCAAAGATCAGTCCTCTCCATCCCGGTGGAGCGGGAGCAGCAGCAGCTGCAGCAGCAGCAGCAGCAGCAGCAGAGGGCTCGGGGTTAGCAGTGGCGCCTCGGCGCTGCGGCAGCAGGCGGTTGCTGGCAGCTGCTGTTGCTGCTGCAGTTACGGCAACTGGGGAGCAGCTGAGGCAGCAGCAGCAGCAGCAACAGCAGTCGCAGCTGCTGCTGCTGCAGCTGCAGTGTAGGCCGAAAGATCCGAGTGTATTGGTGCAGCAGCAACTGCCTCGCCGAGCCTGCTGCTGCCTGGGTTTTTAAACATTAGTTTGGCAGCAAATAAACAAAATACAAATTTAATTGCATTTAAAGAAGTTTAATTGCATTAACTTAGTTGAATTTCAGCATTCCAGCTGCTGCTGCTGCGAGGCAGTACCGCTGGCGCCACAGCAGCAGCAGCAGCAGCAGCAGCAGCAGCCGAGCCGGGGCGAGCAGGCCTTTATTTCCATTCTTTTTTGAGTTAATTTAATTTAATTAATTTAATTTTAATTTAATTTCCAACTTTTCTTCTTTTTGCAAATTCCTGTCCAGCCCATTCCCCCCTCCGCCCAACTCCCCCCACTTCGATTCAGTGGCGCCGCGGGCGTCTTCGGACTTTTCTGTGTTTTGTTTATTTCTTGTAATTTCTTTTATTTATTTTAATTCTTTTTTATTCCTTTTAATTCTTTTTAATTCTTTTTTTCACTTTCAGCTTTTCAGCAGAAGACACGGAGAGAGAGCAGCTGCTTTGCGCTGCTTCCAGCTAGTCGCTGCTCTCGCCAGCCGCCAGCCACGCTAGGGTTTAGGGTTTAGGGTTTAGGGTTTAGGGTTTTCTGCAGCCCCCAGGGACTGTTCCGCTGCGGCGCCTCAGCTGCTGAGCCCTCCACTTCAAGTCCACCCTCACGGCCAAAAGCAGCACGAAAGAAGCCGCTGCTGCAGCTCGCTAGCTAGCTAGCTAGCCAGCTAGCTAGCTAGCCAGCCAGCTAGCTAGCTAGCTAGCTGGCTGGATGGACAGGTAGCTAGCTAGCTAGCTAGCTAGCTAGGTAGCCAGCTAGCTAGCTAGCTAGTCAGCTAGCTAGCTAGCTAGCTAGCTAGCGAAGAAACGGACAAGAGTTCTAAATAGGAAGGGGAAGAAACGGCCTCCGTGGCCCTCGGTGTTACTGGTCGACAAACTTGCTGCCGTTGCTGCACCTCCCCTGAAGCTGCTGCTGCTGCTGCTGCTGCTGCTGCTGCTAGTGCTCTTGCTGCTGCTGCTTTGCTTCCGTCTGTATGTACAGGCGCAAAAGCCTGCAGTGTACATACACCCCAAGCGCTTCTGGGGTGTACGTACACCGCAACTTCTCCGCATTTCGACTGTAATGCCATTCTTTTGGGGCAGCAATTCCTTTTTAAAAGAATTGAATTTAAAACACTTTTTAAAATACTTTTCTTTCTTATTTTGCGTTTAGGATTTGCTGTGTACAGCCACCCCGTTTGCAGCCACTTGCATGCGCGTTTCTGCAGTTCCATTTTGCAAATAAATTTAAATGATTAACTAGTTAGTTTTGTTGCGAATTGATTAATTAAATAATTTTATTAATTAATTGATTTAATTAATTAATCGATTTAAGTAATAATTAATCTAATTAATTAATTATTTAAATACTTGGATGGTGGATAAGTGCAAATAGATAAACACTTTATTTACTTATTTATATGCATGCATGCACATACAAATATAAGAAATACGTACAAGTATATATTAACATAATAAATAAATACTTATTATAACATATACATGTATACTAATATATATACATATATAATATGTATACTAATATATATACATTTATAAATATACACATTTATGCATGTATGCTTCTATATATATAATAAACATATGAATTTACATATATATATGCTTATACATTTATATATATACATTTATATATATATATACATATATATATATATATTCATATATATATATATAGATAAATGCAAAAGAACTAATAAATACTAATATATACAAGAAGAAAAAGAGGCATAAAAACAGACACAGATCCATTGCAAACAGTTTTATAAATGCATGCAGACTTTTGAGAAAACAATTATGCAAAATAGATTTATAAACATCTTTTTATTCTGCGCAAACTCAAACAAAAACTAAAAATAAAACTACAAATGTCCCTCCTTATTATTGTGATAACTGGGAATTATTTGGGTGCAAAATCGAGAAAAAGAAACGCATGCAAAAACGCATGCAGCGGCGCTGGGCTGTACGTACACCTCAAAAGGCCGAAGGAATTAGAAAGGTGTACGTACACCTCAAAAGGCCAAAGAAAGAAATCAGATGAAAAAGAAAAGACCCAGTTGAGTCCGGGAGTCGAGGAGACAGTGCTTCCCTCTCACGAGCAAGAAACCCTAAACCCTAAACCCTAAACCCTAAACCCTAGACCCTAAACCCTAGACCCTAAACCCTAAACCCTTCTGCAGCGCGGTGGGTAAGTCCGCGTGAGCGGCGGCGAGGAGAGTGGGGTATCGGGTGCGGGTCGGCCGTGGGGTTTGGGAGTTCGGGTTTAGGGTTTGCAAACCCTTTTTTAGGGTTTCAGCGGCGCGACAACTCCGCCTCGGAAGGCAACATCGAACGGTAGGGTACAGGGGCCCCCAAAACAGCAGGGGGGGGCCCCGGGGCCCCCATGGGTAAGGGTAGGGGGGGCAGTCCTGGGACGGGGGGGGCGAGGTACCCCTCGGGCACTGCTGCTGCTGCTGCGCTGCTGCTGCTGCTGCTGCTGCTGTCCGCTGCTGCTTCGGCGCTGGCCTTGGGCCTGGCCCAGGCCAGGCGCATGGTGGCGCCCCCAATCACCAGCTGCCCCGCCAGCTGCTGCAGTGCTGCTGCTGCTGCTGCTCTTTCTGCGAAGCAAACAAAAGCCACTTTCTTGAGAGGGTTTATGCGCACAGCCAGCACTTCCCCGAAGGGCCGCAGCTGCTGCAGCAGCTGCGTCTCCCGCGTCCCCTCTGGCAAGCCCCCCACGAACAAAGTTGTTATAGAACTGTCTCCTTTTCCTGCTGCTGCTGCTGCTTCTTCCCGGCTCGCAGCCAGCCGGAAGATCTTCTCCGCCACCGGGTCGTCCTGGCCCACGTACCTGAGGCGCACAGGCATCCAACGCACTTGCTGCTGCTGCTGTTGCAGCTGTTGCAGCTGTTGC